TGGTCAATAAATACTTTTGAATTAATAAATGAAAGAATTTCTGTTCATTTTGATAAACGTAAGAAACAACTATAGGATCTTAAAGAGGAATTGAAATGAAGAAAGATGGTTTTGAGGATGATTGACCTAACAGTTGTGTGAAGAGAAGCTAAAGCCTGAGAAACTAATGAGCTTGTTCCAAGAATCCATGTGTTTCAACAAGAGCCTCAGAAAGAAAGATGTCTAGAGGTTCAACAAACGGGTTGAGAGAGAGATTGAGCAATAAAGTAATTATCCTAAGATTTTTGAGCATAAGAGCACAGTAGAGTATGGTAGAATAGGTAACCAATGGAGAGATTTGAAAGGAGTACCAACATTTGGGAAGAGGCATCATTTTGAATTTTTGACATGTTAAAACTCAAGTGAATCTAGCCGTATATAAAAGAATTATACATTGGGACCAAGTGGTCAGGTATAAAGTCTTGTTTAACATTTGAAAAATCAGTTCCTGTAATTTACCATACTAATAGGCTAAAGAAAACTCAAGTGGAATAGTCAAATTAGGTATTGGTAAGACTATTAAGAAATGAATCCCGTTATCCAACAAAACAAGCTGAGAGAGCAGCTAGATGTAAATAAGTCTTACATTTTCCATGCATGTCATAAGTTCCAAATTCCTAACTTATCTGCCTTTGGAGGTCTTCCATTATCTAGTCCCATTCTCCCTGTGTGGGTTTTGTTTTTATCACTTTCTAGTATGAATCCTCCATTGTAGCCAGCTGAGTTTCCCTGATGCCTTTCTGACATTTTGGGCTCATTTTGTAATGAGAATGCCCAACTACAAATCTTCATCCTGTCATCCTATCATTAACTAGCTTTGACTCTGACTTTGGGGAAGTTGCTTCAGTTTTTAATCTGTAAAATGGGGGTTATAGCCATAATTTTCTAGTATCTTTCATGTATTAAGCACATAATAAACACTAGCTATTAACAAAAATCTCTTCTCTCCTATATCCATATCCCCCTTCTGTAACCTCAGTCCCAAAGTGACATTAAACTGACTCATAATACTAGTGAAGAAGAGAAAAACTAGAGAAGAGTTTTAAGAGCACACATGATTAGCTAGGTGCACAAAGTTAAAAAGAAATGTTTACGCTTTAGTAAGAAATTTACTTGAATAAATAAATACTGAGATTATAAAACACAAATAACTCTTAAAATTCAACAACAAGAAATTTTATGACCCGAATAAAAAATGGGCAGAAAATCTGAACATAAGCCTCACCAAGGAAGATATCACTGGCACATAAGCATATGAAAAGACACTCAACACCATGCGACTTCAGTGAACTGTAAGTTAAAACAGTGAGATACCGCATGTATTAGGATGATTAAAATGCAAAACACCAGAAACACCAAATGCCAGCAAAGTTATAGGGAAACAAGAGCTCTCATTCATTGCTGGTAGTAACAAAACTAAAGGTAGGCTTACTCTTAGGTATTTACTCAAGTGAGTTAAAAATTCACATCCCCACAAAAACCTGTATACAAATGTTTATAGCAGCTTTATTCATAGTTTCCAAAAATTGGAAGCAACCAAGATATCCTTCAGTAGGTGAGTGGATAAAGTGTATACATACAATGGAATACTATGCAGCAATAAAAATAAATGAACTGTCATACCATAAAAAGACATAACGGAACATTAAATATATATATGGCTACATGAAAGAAGCCAATCTAAAAAGGCTGCATTCTTCGTGGTACAGCTATATTATATTCTGGAAAAGGCAAAACTATAGGGACATGTGAAAAAGATAGTGCTTACCAAGAATTCAGAAGGAAGTCCAAAGGGATGACTAGGTGGAACCAGGGCATTTTTAGGGCAGTAGTATCATTCTGTATGGCACTGTCATGTATTTGTCACTCTGTGGGTAGTTATACACATAGTGAACCCTAATGAAAACTATGAACCTTAGTTATCAGTCTTCAGCATTTGTGACAAATGTAAAATGCTAATTAAGGAAGTTAATAGGGGCAACTGGAGAGGAAAGCAAGTGTGGAAACTGTACTTGGTGTACAACTTTTCTATAAGCCTGAAGATGCTCTAAAATATTTCAGTCTTAAGTCTTTTTTAAATGGTTCAGGATTAAAAGTCTGTGAAAGTATGCTTATAATAATTTAGACCTGATACTTTTTTGTTCTTTGAACTACAGACACACTTCCATTGTTTTTTGTAAAAAATCAAAAAGATAGCTCTTTGACATGCCAGATTTTGCCAGAGGAAATTTGTGGGTAGTCTGAATATCGGTGGTGCCAGAGTCTCAGGAGATAATCTGAGGTGTTTAATTCAAAATTGTGAAGGAGTCATTGTAACTGATAGTTGGAAGGAGCTGATAAAATAATTTTCTCTTATGTGGTTGCACCAGTTTTGATCATTAGAATTTGGAGGCCATGTGGAGGCCATGTGCTCTAGCTGTGGAAGCCTGATATTTAGGCTTCTACTGTATTTAGATCCACCGTGATTAAACCAGGGACTTGTTTTTTTCTTTCTGTCACAACACACCCATTTCTTGGGGCTGTGAAGTTCTTGTTTCCCTCAAGGCACATTTAAAATCTGGTTGGGATTTTGCTCTGTTGTAGAGTGTTTGCCTAACCTTGTACAAGGTCCTGGGTTTGATCCCCAGCACTGCAAATATAAATAAAATGGAAATTCTGACTGTATTAAGTAATGGACAATGCACTGGAGAATCCTTTGGTTAAATATGTAATCCTTCTCGAACCTCAATTTATTTTATAGTAGATTCATGTTTCTACTTAACTAATTAAAGCTTATGTGAAGGAGACTTGGTTCAATTAAAGACTTGTTAAAAAAAATTAGCTTGAGAAGGTTCAGAATGTATATGTTGATTTATACAGAACTGGCATGGAGTGCTGGTGGCTCACGTCTGTAATCCTAGCTACTTAGGAGGTGAAGATCAGGAGGATCATGGTTAGAAGATAACTTGGGCAAATGGTCTGTGAGACCATATTTTGAAAAAAACCCATCACAAAAAAGAAGTCTGGTGGAGTAGCTCAAGGTGGAGGCTCTGAGTTCAAGCCCCAGTACGGCAAAAAAAAAAAAAAGACAAAAAAGAAAAAAATATACAGAACCGACAAGTGTGCATCACTACCATTCTGAAACTTCTAAACTAATCAGCTTTAGTTGTTGCACCATATTGCACATTCACCTGAACTTTCCGCATTGTTTTGGGTGACTTAAAACACTGTTGCTCTTTTTGCCTGAAACTAACAAAGGAATAGCTTAGTGACAGCAGACACCGTAACAAATAAATGGCCCTGAAAACCTTTGGGAAGTAAAGAATAAATATCTTCCATGGTTTGATTCATTGAGCATTTACTTGAGCTCATTTAATAAACCTTAAACAAGTATCTACAATGTGTGGATTATTAGGTTTAAGATAAGACATTGTGGGCTGTGGATGTGACTCCAGCGGCACTGGAGTTCTATCCCTAGCATTGGTCAGTGTCTCAAATTTTTCCTGTTGTTTACCAATTTATTATTATTATTACCATTATTATTTTTTGGTGGCACTGGGGTTTGAACTCAGGACCTTGTGCTTGGTAGGCAGGTGATCTTCACTTGAGCCAGGCCCAAGCCCCAATTTATTTGTTCATGTAGGTGGAATCATTGACAGTCCAAGTGGTTGTAATTTGTCTCAGTCCATAGTGGTAGAATTTCAGACTGTAATCACCTTATGGTAAAACCTCTGGTATAGCTTCCTTTAATGTCAGTTCACATACATAAACATTCAATTTTTTTTTTCCCTTTTTTGGTACTGGGGATCAAACCCAGGGCCTTCGTGCATGCTAAGCACATGGAACTATACCCCCAGGCCCTGCAATCTTACTTTTAAAAACACCATTGAGTGTGGTAAAATATTATGTACATGCCAGAAAAACACCTGAAGGCATTTCTTGAATTAATAAGTATTTTTACATTTTACTTAGTTATTATATGCTTATATAATAGTTATATTTAGTGGCTGCTATAATTAAGATATTTGAAGTAAATGTGTACATCTCTAAGAATTACAAATGTCTGTGAAAGTGATAGTTGAATTTAGAGAAAGCCTTTAAATTCAATGGTTTGAGACAGGGCTTTACACATAAAGACTGTTTTTCAAATCTGATATTTGTAAAAAAGATACAGCCTATAATCCAACAACCTGGAATACTTCTGATGTCATGTTTTAGAATATTTGGTTACATAGTAATACCTGTATTATTAAAATATTGAGTGGTTTAAAGATTACTTGTCCTTTATAAATATATGTACTGTTTTGATCTTACCTAATTTCCCTTCTGACTTTTTAAAAATTAATAGTATTTAAAACCAGAAATACAGTTTTTTTATGGTTACAGTTTAAAATAATCAGGGAAGTATACAACTAGCATTTTGACATATGCAAAGCAGGTAAGAATCAAGATGGCTCAAATTTATTTAGACAGATTGAAAATAATTTTGGTTTTAACTTAACATGAATTTATTATTCCAAGATAAGTAAATTTATTATTTAAATTTTAAATAATAAACTTATACTCAGAAAACATTGAAGGTAGTTTTCAGAATTCTGAATTTATTTTAGGCCTTTTATGTCATTTGTATAAGCAAGAAGAGCTTTGTAGTATGAACTATTTCATTTTCCTTCATTAACCTTGTTTTGGCTAAGGATGATTTAAAACACACCATATTATTGTCTTAGTTTGAAATAATTTCATGTTGAAGGTTATAAAGATAACTCTCAATTACTCTGGAAATTGTGCATACAATTCACGTGTGTGTTTTTATCTTAGGCAGAAGTCAAAACCTTTCCTACTAGTTTATATTTTTCTGAATATTTTTGTTATCACACTGTGATTTTAGGTACTTAATAACTTAGTAGAAATTTTATCTAAAGTTTGCTCAAAAAGATAAACCAACTGACTTGGTTTATTACTAATTGTGTTTGATTTTGTAGAAAACTACTGAGCCAAACCAGGTTATATGCCATTGTTGCTCACAAAAAGAATATTCCTCAAGAGGATCCTGCCTCTTCACCTAGAAGGAATGCCAGTCACTTTGATTGGGCTCTGATGAGACTGGATGAGTCTGTCCGAAGAACTGGCCGCATTACGAAAGGACTTCTGCAAAAAGTCTTTGATAGCACGTGTCACACAGGTATTTCACAATTTTTTGTTTAGAAATTGAGCTTTTAAAATGAGTGTTTGGGGACAAATTCATCATAGAGTACATTTGACATTTAAAATTTATTAACTGTGATTATGATCTTACCACCATTCCAACTCATCTAGGCAAACGTTTGTTTTAGATGTTTATTTCAAAATCAGCAAAATCACCAAATAAAATTTTGGTAGTTTATAGAATAGAGTTTCTTTCAGTTGTAAATTATCATGGAAGTTAGTAGAGTTTCTTACCTCCCTTTGTATAGTGTCGGCTTTCCCTAAGATGATCAAATATGACAGGATTTCCAGAAAGACTGAAAATCATCATTTTCTTTTCACATTCAGTTAGCTGCTAAAATTGATTTGGGTTACTTACAACTTTGATAATCTGATAGAAGCTGTAGGTCCTTCACTGCTCCCTTCCCCCCGCCCCCCCCCAAAAAAAGGTAAACAGGCAAACACATAATTTTGCATGCAGTTTGAGAAGATTCATTAAGCTTTCTGAAACCTATTTGTGGGTATCAGTTACATTAAGAAGCATAGCTATGAAATCTGATGAAGAGGTTTACCAAAGAAATGTCAGTTATAATTGTGTGTTTAAAGATTATTTTTGTAACTTTCTCTGATTTATTCATTTGCTCAACCATCACTACAATCAATTTTAGAACATTTCCATCACTCTAAAAAAAAAAATGCTTCCCCCTTTCTGCTATCCCGAACTGCTTACATCTCTTCTGGTCCTAGGCCACCATTAGTATAATTTTCTGCCCCTGTTGGTTTTCTTTTTCTGGATATTTCATATAAATGGAATTATGCAATGTTTGTTTTTGTTTCATCTTAAAGGCAGCTTTCAAGAGTGACGTAGGTAAAGATTATGCATGTAGGAAAAAGGAAGTTTATTTTTTAGAGGGTTGTAAACCAAATTGGATATTCATGGGTTTTCATTGTACTGCTTTGTATCATTTTCATAAGCTTCTGAGAAGCTTAACCTATGTATTGCAGCAAACACTGCTTAGAAAATAAATGATCTGTTGTTGTATTTAGTAGCCATGCATATTACATATATGTAATATATATTACATATATTAATATTTAATAATAATATGTATTATCCTTTAGATGCCTTAAGAAGCAGACTAATTAAAAATTTAAGTTGTAATTTTTAGTAACATTATAGATTAGGATAATTTGTGGACTTGCTCAATGTTATCTTTGTTGAGCCAGAAGATTTATGTGTACTCTTATTTAATGGTTATTATTTTTGTTGATCTCCGAAAAGCCAGGTTTTCAAGTATTTCTAAATTTAAGTTTAAAATTTGATACTTAGCTACAACTGTTTCTTACATTATTGGTACTGTTACATGTTCTCCATTCATCTTTTCTCCTAGGCAACCCAGGAGGTAATCAAGCCTTGCTCCTACTACGCAGCTGTGGCTCTCTCTTGCCTGAACTGAGTCTTACAGAGAGAACAGAATTTGCTCATAAGATATGGGACAAACTTCAGAAATTGGGTAAGATTGAATACATGATGTGTGTGCAAAGTGTATATATTTTTTTCTATGCATATGAAAGGATTTCTTTACATAAATACCAAAATCCAGTATTATGGATGGGCTACTTGATTCATCATTTTTTTTGGTAATAATGTTGTGTTTGGTGAGTGACAGTGACATCTAGGGGCATGCAGAATAAAATAGTTTTTCACTTTGGTAAGTGAAAAAGAAAAAACAAAATAGAAAGGTATTTGTTCTGTTGAAGTTAAAACTGTATATACAGTTTGACCAAGCAGTTCCATTTGTTAGAATTTAAGTACATGTGTACTCATATGTGCCACAGAATATTCCTTATTGCAGTTTGTAATAGCAAGAAGTTGGAATTGACCCTAGTGGCTTTCACTGGAGATTGGATAAGTAAATTATTATGATAGAACACTGTGTAACTCTTTAAAAAGAATCTTTCCGGGCATTAGTGGCTCACAGCTGTCATCCTAGCTATTTGGGAGACAGATTGGGAGGATTGTAGTTTGAGGCCAACTCTGGGCAAACTGAAAGTGAGACCCTATCTTGAAAATACCCAACACAAAAAAAAAATCTGGTGAGTAGCTCAAGTGGCATAGTGCCCCAGTGCAGCCAAGAAAAAAAATTATCTCTTCATACACTGATGAGGGAAGGTTCTCTAAAATACAAATAAAAAATTAAGATGCAGAACAATGTGTACAGTATGCTACTATTTTGAAACACTGGGTTTTTTTTTTTCTTATATGTGTGTGACTTATTGAAATATTTCTAGAAGGATGGTAAACTCTGGATGCAGTTTTTACTCTGTCTTTTTTGTATACTTTTTCAATTTTGAACCATACAAATTGTAATGCAATTAAAAAATATAAAGGCCATTGATAAAATTCAATATTTATTCTTGACTTTAAAAAAATCTTAAAGACTAGATGGATTTTTTTTAACATGCTAAAATTTGGAACCATCAACTCATGTATGATGTAGTAACATGAACTAATACTAGAAATTACTGTTTTTTAAGTGATTTGATTATTTATCTGTAAAATCCTAGAAAGTCAGTTTACAATAATTAGCTAGATATATGAAATATTTGAGAAACCATAGATTTTTTAGTTGGAGAATAAAATCCACAGAGGATCCAACTAAGTCTAGCTACAAATATATAAAATGTCTGGGATAGTCTTTATTCTGTAACTGTATGAAAAAATTATAGACTGATCTTTACTCTTCACGGTTGTTGGTTTGGAGTTATTTTTGGTGGTACTGGGGTTTGAACTCAGGGCTTTGTACTTGTAAGGCAGGTGCTCTGCCACATGAACCACACCCCCAGCCCTCTTGCTTCAGTTACTTTTTCCTTTAGGATCTTAAGGTCTGTGTTGACCCACATTTCTCCTATCTACACCTCCTGTATAGATAGAATTGCAGGTGTCTGCCATCATACCCAGGTTATTTGTTGAGATGAGGTCTCACTAAATATTTTGGGGGTCCTTGAACCACTATCCTGAATCTATGCCTCCAGAGTATCTGGGATTTACGGCCATATTTAGACTACCTCATAGCTTTGAATTCTTTAGAATGCATATTGGTGACAAGTTCATTTTTTTAAAGTGAATGTTGTTGGATTTCAGCATCAAAAAGGATTGGATTTTTGTAAGTATAAAAGCAGCAAAAAATGTATGTGAAGGTAAAGAATTGACTATAAAAACTAGAAATTATTTTTAGGTCTGGGGATGTAGCTCAGTGGTAAAGTGCTTGCCTAGCATACATGAGGCTCTGGGTTTGATCTTACAGAAAAAATTCTGTAAGTCAGTAAGTCATGTAAGTAAAAAACATGTTGAATGGTAGATATATTTGCAAAAATGATTGTATTCTAAAATATAAAAAAGCCCTTACACAGCAGTATAATAATAATATCTAAAGTGTATATCACTTTTTCTTACATTATAGTTATTTATGGTCAGGCATAGTGGTGCATACCTGTAATCCCAGCTTTCAGGAGGCTGAGGCAGGAGGATCATGAGTTCTAGGTCAGTTTAGGCAACAGAGTGAGTTTCAGGCTAGCCTGTGTTCTACATAGGAGACCTGTCTAAAGGGTCTTAATATTGCATCCTTTAGGATAGAGGAATCTGTAACTTTTTTGCTTCCTTCTTTGTCAGTAATACTGACATTTGAACGATACTTGTTGAATTAATATTGCCAGAGGCCTGATTGATTGCCAGTGTGACTCTTGTTCATAAATTTACCTCATTGAATAGTAAATGTATTAACATGGTTGAAAGTACCAAAGATTCGGTGAGTTTATAGTGAAAGAGTCCAACCTAGTCACCCAGTTCTCTTTCTTGAGGGCAATTAGTCAAATCTAACTTGAAGAAAAGTTTTAAGAGAACAGTTAATGTTTTGGAAGAGGATGAATGTAATTTCTTAGATAACTATTTAGGAAAGTCAATATTTAGAATTGAAAAATCTTAGATCATTAGAGCTCTAATTTGGAGACAAAGGTAGGAATAAAGAGCTCTGAACAAGAAAGTCCAATCATATTTTTGAGTTGGTATTAGTCAGGTCCATATTTAATGAATTTATACATGTGATCTTGATCAGGAGAGCTATATAGTGATATCTTACAGTTTCCAGGTGACACCACATTTTTCTTGAACTATAAAATGCTAAGCTAACATAACTATAGAAATAATTTTTAGAACCCTGTGAGCAGACAGAAAAGTGGTAGATATATTTCATTGTGGATAAGCACAAGGTGATACACAGAGGAGGGAAAAGTTACCTAATAGTACCAGTGGAAGAGAAAGCACTGATCTAGGCAAGAAATCTGGCTTTTACCCAAAATAGTAATAGTTTAGAACATTCCTTCAAATTTGAACAAAATAAGTCTAGGAGAAATGCAAGTGGAGGATAATTGACAAAATTATTTCACAAAGAAATCAAAGACTATATTAACACATTAAAAGTAATGGACAGTAGGTCCAGCATGATGAGATCCTGTTGAAGGTATAAGAACGTGGTATAAAATACAGAAGGCGATGCCATTGTATTGCTTTTAGTTATTTAAGGTGAGATATTTTATGACTATATCCCTAAACTTTGAGGTTTTTTAATTTAAAGTTTAGATGGTCTTAGACTTTCTTCATACTATGAAAAAGAGGAGTTTGAAAAAAATCTGTATTTTCTTTTTAAGTAAGTGTCTCATGAAATGAAACAAAATAAGTTAAGACAGGGATAAAGTTTTCACTGAAACTCATAGAAACATTTTTGGCATATATAGAATTATGTCCTATTCAGTGTGACAGAGAAAATTAAACCTGATAGAGTTGTATTGATCACTGATTCTAAGTAAGTCTATATGAAAAGCCATAATAGATACTGCCTATCTGGGCTTTCAGCAGTTTCCTCAGCTTCTGTGACAAATTGAAACCTTTAATACAGAACTCAGCTTGAATTGATGAATTTTTTGTTGTTTTTGTTTTTTGTTGGCATTGGGGTTTGAACTCAGGGCCTCATGTTTGGTAGGCAAACACTCTTACCACTTGAATCAGTCTGCCAGCTTAGTTGATGAATTTTGAAATAAAGTTTTAGACATTGTGTGGTAACTTGTTGCATAGCCATGTTGCAGATGTTGACTAGCTCATGGCTCTCTATAAGGCCCTATGAAAAGTTTTGTGATGGTTAAAAGGTTGGATTCAGTGCTATACTTTATAAGTAAGATTTTTAATATCAATAGACAGTTGCTTATAACTATTCAGTAATTCTGTAGTTATGTCTTTCATGCTTAGCTTGCTCTCTTGTGACAACATTTCTGTATAGATGGTTTTAAGTGTTGATACAGATGGCTAAAATGCTATAGTGACAATTTTACTCTTTTGTTAAATTTAGGTGCACATAATTGAAGTTGAGATACAGGATATGATTTTTATGCATTTCTAAAAATTTGATCTAAATTTCATTTGTAGGTACTGTGTATGATGTGAGTCATTACAATGCTTTACTTAAAGTCTACCTTCAAAATGAAAGTAAATTCTCACCTACTGATTTCCTTGCAAAAATGGAGGAAGCAAACATTCAACCAAATCGAGTAGGTAGTTGCTGTTATAAAGAGAGATTGATCATATCCACTTTTTTTTTTAAACCCAGAATAAAACTATTAAAAAAATTTAACGAGTCCATTTCATTGACAGGTAACATACCAGAGGCTGATTGCTGCTTACTGTAATGTAGGAGATATTGAAGGTGCCAGGTATGGATTTGTATAAATACAGGCTTATGCAAACAGATTTTGTACACCTGAAACATATTTACTCTATTTTAAAGGCTTTTCATCAAGGGCAATTGCTTCAGAAGTATTTTAATGTAGCAGATTTGATAATGTGACTTAGACAAAATATAAAATTATCATATAAGAGGGAAAGATTAGTAAAAGTTGCTGTTTTAATCAAAATATGTTTTATTGGAGCATAGGAATAAAACTGTTGATGATAAAACTAGCTTTACTTTTTTATTTTATTAATATTTCCTAAGGGAAAAGTTGTTAGCTATTTAAAATGTGTTGAAGCATAAACCTGGGACTAGTCTCTTTATCCCAATTATTCATGTAAAATGAATAACAAATACTTCTCTGCTCATGTAAAATTTATTGCCATTTTTGGATTGAAGGCTTGGGAAATATGCATGGATTCTATTGTACAATGTTATTTTTAACTAAATGTCTTATTGAACTTAGTGCTTTTTAAAGGTTAGTAAACAATGTACAACAATCATTTAAAAATTAGTATTTTTAACAAGAGTGCCTCAGGATTATTAATACTTCCTGAGGAGGGGATCAATTTTTACTTTGTAGTTTTTAAAACAAGGCCCATTTTATACATGCAAAAAGTGCCTTTGGTATGTAATTCCAAGGAGTATCTTCATTTTTCTTTTATTGCAGCAAGATTCTTGGATTTATGAAAGCCAAGGATCTTCCAGTCACAGAGGCAGTGTTCAGTGCTCTCGTTACAGGACATGCAAGAGCTGGGTAATGTTCAGCCTAAGGTTTTGGTTCTTACACACAGGTTAACTCAAAAAAAATTATAATATTATAGAAAACATTAAAAATGAACTGGCTGTGGTGTTGCATGCCTATAATCTCAGCTACACAGGAGGCCATAGGTAGGAGGATCACTATTTTGAGGCTGGGCCCCAGGCAAAAATGTGAGACCCTACCTGAAATGTAACTAAAACAAAAAGGGCTGGAGGTGTGTCTTAAGAGGTAGAGCACCTGACTAGTAAGCATGGAACCCTGAGTTCAAACCCTAATACCACAAAAAAAAAAAAAAAAAATTATTCTAAAAAATTTATAGTGCATGTATATCTACATCATCAAAAAAATCTGGAGTGTGTATGGTAGACCATTGATGTTTTTATAACTTGTTAAATTTATTTCATAAAACTTGTGTTTGAAATTATTCAATTAAAAAAATTTTGCTACATCTGAAATAACTAAATTTGTAAAGTTTATTAACTGCTCTGGAAAATATTTTTATTTTTCATGGGTAATTTAGTACATGTTATTCCAAATGTAAATAAAATTTGTGTTATAAACTACTTAGTGTAGGAGCGTACTTTATTTATTTATTTGTTTTTGGTGGGGCCAGGATTTGATCTCAGGGCCTCATGCTTGCTAGGCAGGCTGCTTTGTCAGCCCTTTTTTGTGTTGGGTATTTTTGAGATAGGGTCTTGCAAACTGTTTGCCTGGGACTGGCTTCAAACCTCAGTTCTCCTGATTTCTGCCTCCTCAGAAGCGGGGTGTGAGCCACTGACACCCAGCTGAAGGTTCATTATTTAATGTCTAGGTAATTATATAACTTATTTTGAGGTGGAACTAACCTATAAACATTTTAGATGTTTATGGTTATTTTAGAATTATACAATCAGTTTAATATGTATTTGTCCTTTTTGTCATCATAATTAACAATAGTATTAAAAATTAAATTGATTTTAATAGTCATAGGAAATATATTTTAGATGGATAATTATATTACATTTGGCGGTGTTATAGTAATTTTTTAAAAATTAATTTATAGAGATATGGAGAATGCAGAAAATATTCTCACAGTGATGAAAGAGGCTGGAATTGAGCCTGGTGCAGACACTTACCTATCATTATTGATGGCATATGCTGAGAAGGGTGACATTGACCATGTGAAGCAGGTAGGACTATATCATGTAAATCAACATTAAAATCATTTCTGTATACTAGTGTTATGTTGTACGCGAAAAGCATTTTATACCTATTTTTGAAGATGCCTCCTTATGGAAAGAAGAATCTTAGTTTGGTGCATTGATGTTGATATATAACAGTTACTGTTGGAATAGAATGTTTCCTATTCCGTAAAATAGTCCTGAACCTTTAGATGGTATTTGTTACTAATTTTTTAAATCTTGGTATTTTCATTTATTTGGCTTTAATACTTAAAAGCACTAGTTCCTAAGTTCTCGCTTTACTTTCTGGAACTATCTGTAGACGCTGGAGAAGGTGGAGAAGTCTGATCTTTACCTTATGGACCGTGATTTACTGCAAATTATCTTTAGCTTCAGTAAAGCTGGATATCCTCAGTATGTCTCAGAAATTTTGGAAAAAATTACCTGTGAAAGAAGATATATTCCAGGTAGATTTAAAGTTCTTATTTACATTGTTTTTGTAGAATTGCTATTTATTAGAGAAAGGACATCATTTTCTAACAGTAGGGGATTATGATAGATGAACATAATACTTTTTAAAAGTCAGTGTAAAATAAGCTAAAAATGTGTTTATAAGTACATAGGAGTAATGAGTACTTGCAAGTGTTTTATTGTTATTTAGGCAGACATTCTGTCAGTGTTTGCAATTTGTAAATTTTTTCTTTAGAGTTTATTACAATATAAAACAATTGATTTAGTAACAAAAGATGTCTTTTTTTCTTTTCAGATGCAATGAACCTCATTTTGCTTTTAGTCACTGAAAAACTAGAAGACACAGCATTTCAAATTTTATTAGCATGTCCTATATCAAGGGAAGGCCATCTGAATGACTTTGGTAGTTTCTTTTTACGACACTGTGTGACTATGAATACGGTATTCTGTCCATTTTTATTTTGTAGATGCTAGAACTGCTATTTAAAAAGATTCTTTAAAAAAAAAATTTATGAGATTAGACCAGTTGTAAACATTGTAAAAACTTTATTTTTGTATTGCAAGATTTTTGGGTAGATATATCAAAGTTTTCATCCTAAGGTGGTAGAATATTTGCAGAAGGTCAAGTGGTGGGGTGTTTGCCTATTTTGTTGACCTGGTGACATTTTTTTCCCCCCAGCCTGCAGAGAAGCTGACAGACTACTGTAAGAAGTTAAAGGAAGTCAAGATGCACAGTTCTCCATTGCAGTTCACACTCCATTGTGCTTTACTGGCCAATAAAACCGGTATTATATTATTTTTGTTAAAACCCAACATGTACAGATTTTGCTGAGGCAACTTCATTGTATTTTATGGCATCTCTTTCAGATTTGGCAAAAGCTCTAATGAAGGCTTTGAAGGAAGAAGGTTTTCCTCTCAGAAGTCACTATTTCTGGCCTTTGCTAGTTGGACATCAGAAGGAGAAAAACATTCAAGGTTAGCATTTGCCTGTGAGTGGTTTGAAGTGGTCTGAGAGGCAATGTAATTATACACACTTATATTTGAATTCTTTGGAAAAGCATACTTATTCCTGAGTATTAGACCTGTGAGAAAGTGGAATTGTGTTAAGTTACAGTGAAACAGTAATAGATTTTTAATTTTAAATTATTAAAAGTTAAAAAATACATATTTCTTTCATCCTAATTTCAAAGGTTTTTGAAGAAACTCTAGCATTTGAAATTAGTCTAGCCTTAATAAAGTTGTATATAATCAAGTTCATGAAAACAAAAGATGTGGCTATTTCCTTTCTGTACCTGTCTATTTCTCCTTAGCTGAGCTTAGGTAGAATAATAGGGAAGGCAAGAAAACTTTTATTGCAAAATGAGTGCTCATGACCTGACAGCCTGCTGATTGAAAGGACAGAAATGTTCAATCTTTCAGCTTCTTAAGTACGTTTAAGCATTTAGCATACTTTTCCCTTGTACACATGGGATGTCTATAGGATATGAATAAGAACTGAACAAATATTAAATTTTAGAGTACAGTATCTAATTCTTTGGTTTGCATTATTGGTAATTCAGAAAGAGTAGTTTCATAAAAAGATGCTTTTAACAGAAGTACCTCCCCCTTGGGGAAACAAAAAATGGTCTTTTTCGTTTTATCTCGCTGTATAATGTGCTTTGGAATGAGATGCAGAGTTGTTAGTGTGACATTGGGTGACAAACAAAATGCACAAACAACAAAAAAGTGCTTTTAGCAGACTTTCATATTGCAATTTTATTTTAAATATATAGCCGTCTTCTGATTTAAAGGAAATAGTGAAACAAGTATTCCCTAATTGTTTCTGACTATAAAAGTCTCTAAATCCTTTTTAGAAAAATCTTTGTGAAAACAATATGCTAGTTTATTAACTCTTTGTGTATTCTCCAGTTCTGAAAGCTCCAAATGTAACCTTTAACCCAGTATTTTTGAATCACAGAAAGTTTACATCATTTCATCAAACTCTTTGGGCATGTTAGTATTGTTTACCTTTATACAGGTATGAAAATACTTTTGGTACCCTGTTGTAAATTTGCTTCTCTCAACCATGTCATATCATCTAGAGTTGAATTAGTTACTTGATTGTTACTACTCAGTAACATAAAATAATTTAGGCAATTTCCCTCCGTAGTTAAAGCTAATCGAACTAGTAGAAAAGGGGCTTTGTCTTAAATCTGTCTTTTCTTAGAATCTCAGAATTTAGATTTTGAAGGTGCCTTGTTGAAAGTTCACATTACCTTGATGAAGGAACTGAGAGCCATAAGGGATTCGGTGACTGACCTTATCTTACATTCCTTATCTAGCTTACAGTAGTTCTAGAATTATAATGTTCTTGACCTCCTATTGAAATACTCTTTTTATACCTCCATATCAGACTTATGTAAATATTAACGCTATATTTTATAAAAATTCTTAGCTTTTATTTGGAAAGTAGGAACCAGTATTTACATTAAGAACATTTTTAAAAAAGAGGTGCCATATTTTTTAATCAATGAAAGTTTCACCTGGAAAAATACTGAAGCTTATGCTTTATTGAGAAGTACTGACTTGAGAGAAGAAGAGATTTTCTGGTATTTTTCTTACTTTTACTTTTTTCTTTTTTTTTTGGTGGTACTAGTGTTTGAACTCAGGGCCTTTGTGCTTGCTAGGCAAGCACTCTACCACTTGACTCATGTACCCCGACCTTTTTGTTTTAGTTAGTTTTTAGATAGGGTCTCATACTTTTTAACCTGGGTCTGCCTGAATCCTGATTATCCTACTTACTTCTCTCAGGTAGAAGGAATAAACAGATGTGTGCCACCATGCCCGGCCTGTTTTTCACTTTTTATAAAATAGTATATGGCTGTCAGAGTGGGTCAAGTGGTACAGTGTCTGACTAGCAAGCAGCAGGTCCTGAGCTCACCCCTGCTACACCCCCATCCTGTACCACAAGGGGATAAAAACCATCCCCCCCAAAAAAAAAAAAAACCCATACCTTCTCTTTTGCAACAGATCCTAAAAGATAGTATAGTATATATTCTGCTGTCTTCTTTCATCTGCCAGGGTATGTGTTTTACATAGTTTCATTCACATAAGGGTAGTATAATGACCTTGCTTTGTCCAGTGAAAGTCATGTTTAGACTGGTGGAAATGACAGATAATGGGAGCAGGTATGGAGGATGTGCAGGAGTGGCTAATGAAGAGTAAATGTAATCAAGAAGTCAGAGACATGTGGAGGTCAGAAAAAACTGAGCCAAGTGTTTCCAACAACATGATGATCTAATCTCTGTTGAGTTTTTCTGGCTGTAATAAAGCCATCACCAGCCTCTAAGAATGCTTCTGCCTTCTTATGACTCATTTTTCCAACAAGTTTATGGCATCAATGGACATAGAAATGGACTTCGAAAAATACGTTTTTAGCAAGTTGGCCTAAATAAGCCCAGATGAGTAGGAATCTATATCCTTTGGTGTAGTGACAAAATACTAAGAAGATGAAAAGGAAAAAGTATATAAAGAAGGGCTGATTAAAAGTATGAATGCCAACTGAGTGGAATAGAGGTAACTTTTCAAAAAGTAAGACTTTGTCTCCAAATAAAGTGAGTATACTAGGTAGAGTATAAGAGTTACATAGAGCAGACAGTCTTAGTCAGTGGAAGTTGTTTAGGTAAATCTTATCTTTTTCCCATAGTTGGAACTTTCTTTAAAATTTTTATTCTTTTTTTTTTCTTGTTTATTCATATGTGCATACATTGTTTGTATGCCCCCTCTCTCTCCCCCTCACTTTCAGGCAGAATCTGTTCTGCCCTTATCTCTAATTTTGTTGCTATTCTTTTTTTTTTTGTCATTTTTACATTTACTCACATGTGTATACATTGTTTGAGCCACCCTCCACCCCCCAGTTGGAACTATTTTAGTTGTTTCGGTTTTCTAGTACATTGAAATGTTATTAGATTGTTTATTTAGTCTTAGTTTAGATGTGCCAAGTTCACACGGGGTTGAAATCCATTTTTATACGAGGTAATATAAGATTAATCTTTGTATAAATGTGAGGCCACGTGCATATAATCCTAGTTACTGAGGAGACTGAGGCAAGAGGATCACAAGTTCAAGGCTAGTCTGGGAAATGTGGTGAGACCCTGTCTCAAAATTAAAAAGTTAAAAGGGTTGGGAGTGTTGCTCAGTAGTGGAACACTTGCCTAGCATGTGTGAGCTTCTGGGAACTGTCTTTACTTCCAGAAAAAGGGAGGAGGGAGTTGTATTTTTTTTTTTTTTTTTTTTTTTAGAATTTATAGATAATCAGATCAGCTCAATCACCCCTTTTCCTTTTTCACTGACAAATGTTGCCGTCTTTTCTTCTGGCTATAGTTACTAAAGGATGCCTGGGAGAGTGACCTCATCTGAGCAGATGGGTCCCAGGCTTAAAGCCTACTGTAGTTTGAGTTAGAAATTTAAGTTAAAAATGCCAACAACAGAGATCATGTGAGCAGAATGCACTCTTTCCCCTGATAACATTGAAGAAATTAAGAAAATTAATTAGGCTGGGCACCAGAGGCTCACATCCATAATCCCGGCTACTTGGGAGGCTGTGATCACATTTTGAGGCCAGCTCAGGCAAATAGTTCAAGACCCTGTCTCCAAAATAACCAGAGCATAATGGACCAGAAGCGTGGCTCAAGTGATAGAGTGCCAGCTTTCCAAGGACAAAGCCCTGAATTCAGACCCCAAACCCCAATCCCACCAAAAAAGTAAAAGAAGAAGAAAATGAATTATATTTGAGGTATTGATGGTAGGGTGGTGTTCAGTATAGGAGTAAGTATTACTAAGATAATCTTTTATCTGCAGTTAATTTGTTGGCTTGTTTTCAAACAGAAAATCTGTTGTCTAGGGAACTTTAAAAAAATTCAAGAATACAGTAATACAGTTAATGCAGTAGTATTAACTGTAGTCACCTTGCTGTACACTAAGTCTCCAGAACTTCTTATTCTTGAAAGTGAAAGCTTATATTTTTTGACCAGCATCTCCCTTTTCCTTCACTCCCAGACCCTGGTAACTACCATTCTATTCTCTCCGAGAGTTCCTCTGACTATGAGGTTCATATATATATATAATTTATTTATGTATTTTTTAGATTCCACATATAAGTGAGATCAATGCAGTACAGTCATGTGTCACTTAATGTTGGGAGTACATTCTGAGAAATGTGTCACTAGGCACTTTAATCATTGTATAAAAATGATAGAATTTTATTTACAAAAACTTAAATGGTACAGCCTACTACATACCTAGCCTATATAGTATAGCCTTTGCTCCCAGACTGCAAACCTGTACAGTATTATAATGCAATGATAAGCACAAACTCGCTAGACAATAAGAATTTTTTTAGCTCCTTTTTACTTTCATGGGAACACCATAAAATGTGTGCTCCTTCATTGACCAAAACACTGAACTATGTTCAGCTGTATTTTTCTTTCTGTTTGTGGCTTATTTCACTTAGCATAATGTCCTCAAGGTTTATTCACGTGTCTTTGGTGATGGGGAGTCTTTCCTTCCTTCTTCCCTCCCTCCCTCCCTCCTTCCAATCTGCTCATCTTCTGTCTTTCTTTCTGACAGGGTCTTACTATGTAGGCCAAGCTGAACTCAAACTCCCAATTTTCTTGCTTCCCCGCACCCCCCCCAGAGTGCTGTGATTACAGGCATGTGCCATTGGCTCTTTCTAAGGCTGGAAAATCACACACACACACACCATTTTGTTTATCCACTCATCTGTCAACAGAATGTTGCCCCTACATTTTGACTACTGTGAAAGTGCTGCAGTGAATTTAGGTATACAGGTATTTCTCTGAGGTGGTGATTTTAAAGTTTTCAGGAATTTCCATACTGTTTTCTGCAATGGTTTAACCAGTTGCCATACTCACAAACAGTGTACTAGGATTCTCTTTTCTCTGCAGCTTCACTGGCATTTGTTATTATTACCTTTTTGGTAATAGTCATTCTGTTTTTTTCTTTTTTTGCAATGCTGGAGATTGGGCTCAGGGCTTCAAGAATGCTGGGCAGGCACCATTCCACCAAACTACACCTCTAGCTGGATAATAGTCATTCCAACAGGGGTGAGATGATACCTTATGCTAATGGGAGGCAAGAACATTAACACTGAATTATGTCTCCAATCTTTTAAGTTAGTTTTAAATTCAATGAGACAATAATTCATTAGAATAAAAAAGTGTTCTCTTTGTTTCTCATTCTTTTGTAAAAGCTAAAGTCAGAATTTAGTAAAAATTAGATATTTTTTGTTAATGTGCTTAATCAAAAACACTTTTTGAAGTGATATGTCAAGGCAGTCTAGCTTGGCAAACATTAATGGCTTCTTGAATTTAAAGCAGCTCTAGATAGAAAAAAAAGGTAATTCTCCTCATTTGATTTTTCAGTGGGGTAGCATTTCCCATATTTTAGAACAAGTGGGGTGCCTTGCTTAAAATAGCATTTAATATATAATTGTGTGTATAATCCATAATTTATGGATAAAGCTGTACATCTGTCATATTTTGGCAGGATCTTCTGCTTTAATATTAAACAGCTTGTTATTTAAATATTGGACAAAGCAATTTCAAAATGTAGTCCTCAATAAACTTAACTTTATGTATACCTGTGTTGGAGGAAAAAAACAGTTTTTGAAACTGGTTTTGTCTTTGACAGATCTGCTGTTCTAATTCCATAATCCCTTCCCATTGCAGTGCTTATTCTTCTTAGGTGTTATTGTGTAATTCTGTCATTGCTGTCTGATAGCAGTGATGTTGTATGATTGATACTCAGTCGAGGGGCCAGAAATGCTCAACACATTTCTCTTAACTTTCCTCGTAGTCATAATTTCAAGGAGAGTTTCATTTTGTAGGAGGTTATGGGGTTTGAACTTACGGCCTTGCGCTTGCTAGGCAAGCGCTCTCCCACTTGTGCCACACTTTGGTTATTTTTAAGGTAAGGTGTTAACATTTATGCCTTGGTCGGTCTGTACTGCTGTCCTCTTATTTACCCTTCCTGCCTAGCTGGGATGACAGGCACACTCCACTACGTCCAGCCTTTATTGGTTGAGATATGGGGTCTTGAGAACTTTTTGCCCTAGCTGGCCTTGAAACTCTATCCTCCCAATCTGCATCTCCTGAAGCTTGGATTACAGGTGTGAGCCACCTTGCGTGGCAGAATACTTTCTTTTTTTCTTAAGAATATTTTCTTAGCATGCATTATGGAATTAGTAGAGGGAGATGAGGAATAGAATAAATTTTTTCCACTCGTCATGTGTCCTAGTTCTTTTGCTTTTCTGCCTTCTCTTTTAGACAAACAAAATGCTGAATAATTTTTTTACACTATGATTTAGAAAGTAACTGAACTAAACTTTCTGATCGCTCCTTGATTTGTTCCAAGTTCTTTATCTCTGTGCTTCTGGGTTGTGCATTACAGGTATAATTGATGTCCTCAAAGGAATGCATGAAATGGGAATAGATCCTGATCAGGAGACATATGTAAATTACGTGTTTCCATCCTTTGATAGCATAAAGTCAGTACGTGCTGTTTTGCAGGTGAGTACAGTATGGTTTTAATTACAGAGTTGACGAGAATGTCTTTCTCCCTAATGTTAGATGGTCATCAAAAAAACCTTAAGTTAGTCTTTTTAGCTTAACATGTGTGTTCTTTCAGATGTGAGTATCCTTAAGACATCTTTCAGCATAAGAGTGGATTATAGGACTGGGCATGGTTGTGCACTCTTGTTACCTCAGCTCCTTGGGAGGCAGACATAGGAGGACTGAAGTTCTGAGGCTGATTAGGACACAAGCACAAGACCCTATCTGAAAAATCAGAAAAAGGATCGAAACTGTGGCTCAAGTGGTAGTGCACTTAGTGTGAGGTCCTGAGTTCAATTTCCAGTAGTGTCCCCCCTCAAATTACATTTTTTATGTTATTTAGCAACCTGTTTTTTTCATTTCGTATCTTTCATAACAATATGTAATTCTGCAAATTATTTTTTGTGCTTGCATGCCATTTTGTTGTATTAATATGCCATAATTTACTTTTATTCATTGCCTATTATTTATTACCTAGGTCGTTTTCAACATTGTACTATTACAAAATGATTCAATAAATATATTTGAGCTAAATTTTGGTTCATATACATAAGTTATTGAACAACTAATTTTGGGACAAGTGATACACCACTTGGAGTTAAGTAAATTTGATCCTCCTTACTTTACCACATGTCCCAAAACACTATTTTAGTATTGTGCATTGAACTTTTGTCCTGAATGAGAGAATTGTAGTGTCTTCGAAAGTAAACAGTCCCTCCACTTCCAAAAAACCACTCTGTGGGTAACAATGAGATAAGCATTTAATGTGGAATGTTGGAACTCTATCTTAAAGCTTTTGCTAAAATTCAATTATTTGACTAATGTATAGTTTAGAGGACTATATTTTTTAAAATGATAGATTTTCAAATAATATAATGATTACATATTGGGAAGATAGGAAATTTGAAAGCATATCAAACTGCTGTTAGGTGAAGCATGTTATCATTGGTATATGCTCTATTTCTAGGAAAATGAGTGTCTGCCTCAAAGTGGTGTGTTTTCTCAAGCCGAAGTGAGACGTGAAGCAGTAAATGGGAACTTAGACTATGTCTTATCATTTTGTAAGTGTTTAACATTAGCAGTAATGATTTCAGTTACTACTGAAGGCATGCAGCGTCGTTTATGCAGTGTTTTGTTTTAAGTCATACTGAAAAGCCAGTTTTTGAGTTGCACTTGTGGATACTTTTGAAGTAGTTTTAAAGTTGAAAGTACATGGGAGATAATATTGTTAGAGTGGAGGTTGGGGTGGGGACCCTGAAGACCAATGTCCTATTTTTAATTCAGCAGCTGATAGGTGATTTGAAGCAAGGCTCTTAACCTCTGTTTGCTTCAGTTTTCTAAGGTACTCCCTATCAACATAGTGTGCATTGGGGTAAAGGGGTGTCTGAAAATTGAATGAGATACTGTTTACCAAAGTTTTTTAAACTTCCATTGTTATCTATTATGACATTAATTAAGTTTCATGAAGTTGGACTGAAAAAGGTATGCTCAAGTGGATCCCTGCTTTGTAAGCACAAACCCCTGAGTTCAAACCCCAGTCCCACCCAAAAAAAAAAATTAAAGTTACATGAAACTATTTCTTAGATTTTCTTAACAAAAACACAGCAAATGTTTGCTAAACATTTAAATGCTAGGGTGTTTACTGTGTTTACTACAGGTTAATAAAGTCATCTCCATTGATAAATGAGGAAAGGTATAGTGAGGTATATGATTTGCCCAATGTGTGCTTTGAGCCTGAAGCAAGATCTTCCAACTCTAACTTTATTCTATTTATCATACCACATTTTGTTTTTAATAAATAAATAAACAAGATGTTCCTTCAAGTCTTTATTTTGTAATATGTCCATGATGTTACTGACAGGTTTAGGTCTTGTAGAAGACACATCATTTAAAACCAAAATACATGAACATAGGGATTTTTAGCTCTGTAAAATGTTTTTGGTTTTTTTGGGGGGGAGGTGGGACCGGAGTTTGAACTCAGGGCTTTTCACTTGCAAAGCAAGCACTCTACTGTTTGAGCCACACCTTCAATCTAAGTTGGAGGTTTTTGTTTTTTTGGTTTTTTTTTTAAGCTCCATAAAATGTTAAAAATTAAATCTTGATTAGTACATATTCACAATGTATAAATGGCAGCTTTGTAAGAACCAGATTATTTGCTATCTATAGCCTGTGTTTACATCATTTAAAATACTTCATTAATTAAAAATAGTTAATATTGGAAGGGAAAGACAAAGTGTCCTATAAGAAAAGTGGTTACTGTTAGAGGTATAGTTATTTGAGTTGGAGGCTAAATATTACTTTGGCTGCTATTTAAGTGTATTGATTTTGCCTTCCACTCTGTAAAATATATAGATTTTCTATACTGACAAGATGAAAACAGAGATGCATTAGCAGGAGACTCTGGGCTCGTAAGGTGCATACATGAGAGCTGACTTTCCCTTTTATCATACCATCTATTCCACTTTATTGTCAACCTTGATTTTTCAGATTTGTTTGTTGCTAAGGAAACTATACGACACCAACATTTCAGTTTGCTGGGATTTTTCTGGCTACCTTTTTAAGGAAAAAAACTTGACAATAGTCTGTGCAATACAATTTTGAATAGTATAAAAATACATTATCAAGAAGTTGTTTATTAAATTGGAAAAGAAAAATGCCAGGGACCATGAGACTGAAGTATATTTGAGCCCACTCTTGTCATTTCCTTGCCCCGTTGGATTTACAAGTCTTTAAAGAGCAGTTCATTTTGTCATTGCTTTAGGCAGCTCTTAGGTTGTACTGTTGTTTACTGCATCACCAAGAATGTCAATGTAGGGAGGTTTTGTTATCTTGATCAAGTTTGTAGGGTACTAGGTTCACATCTTCTCATTTTTATTTGTGAGTATGCCTAATTAATTTTGTCAAGCAAAATTAAAGGTTGTCTGGAGGCACTTAGTTATGTTCACTTTCTAATTCTTTGAGTGACTAAGTATAGGTCCTCTTAAAAATGTTTTTTAGACTTTCAAATGTTGTAAGACCTCTGGGAAACTTAAACTCCTTGCTGAAGGGATATATCAGTTGATCTTAAATAACTCTTGTGTGGGAGTTAATTTTTATATTTAAGTGAGGTAAATCTTTAATATGACTGATTGTTCTATGAGTTCTTTAAAAAAATTAAGCCAACTATCTTAAGGTTCACCTAACCTGAATTTATTGCCTTCAGAATTTGTCTCTACTCTGAATTCCTCTCATTACAGCTTAACTTGTATCATTAAAAAGCCACATTATATTTAAAGTGAAAAGATTATAATGATACCATTATAATATGATTGCAAGGAAAAAGAAATTCAGGAGATGCTTAAGGTGATCCCATCCACCCCTTGCTAGTTACAGCAAGGTTTATATGAAGAAGCTATACCAGGCCTGATTCTTCTGCTAATGCAAATCAGGCTTACAAATCAGTACCGAAACATTCAAGGTTTTGACTGTTAAATGCTAAAATAAGTAGTAGAGGAAACAAATGCTCAGAAAAATGAAAGGTCAATATAAATCAGTAATATAACAGTTAAATACATATTTTATCATGATTTTACCTTGTTACTCTTAGAAAAGAATTTTCTCTTCTGTCTTCAAAAGATGAAAGTCTTTAATACAGTCTCTCCATAGTGCCACAGTATTCAGTAGCACACAATATCAGTTGTGTACCCTGGTGATTCAGTTATGATGATAAATTAGTAATTGCCGTTTATGTGCAAGAACAGTTACCATATAAAGTCATTAATTGTATACACTCACCAAAATGAAGTAAAATGCTTTGAAAGAATGGTTTTCTTGCAAATACATATTGCTGTTATTTTATTAATTTTGTATGAAAACATTATTTTTAAATGAAAATTATTATTTTAAAATTTAAATTGTTATTATAAATTGCTATTTTTAAATAAAATGAAAATTAAAAGGATTTGGTAAAATTTTGTCAAATAAGTTGGTAACTCAGGGTTTTTGATTGTTTTGTTTGTTTGGTGTGAGATGTTTAACAATCATTTTCTTTTGCAGTGAAATCAAATGAGTTGCCTTTCTCATTTAATTCTTTAAGAGGCAGTCTAATTCTAGGCTTTAGGAGGTAAGATTATCAACTTAAATGTTCTTTGCCTGGTTATGAACTAATTGATTACTCCTTTTCTTATAATCGAGTACATGAGGAAAGGTGGTTATTCTTATATTCTGATATACTGGGTACCTGAAATAATCCTGCCTGTTCTATTCTTCTAAGTAGCCTTTTATATATCTTTCCCAAGAAATGCATATTTTTGTAAATATCCTGTTACCAAGGAGAAAGTGCTGTTTGAAAATGGCAAGTTGGAGTTACAGATTTGCATATATAACAGTTTATTCTTTGAGCATTTAATTATAAGGCCACTTTCATTCAGTATAATACTACTACTCTCCTGTGTGTTCAAGGAATGTTAATGACATTTTTACTTGTCTATTTTCTTTTACTACATTGAGATTCGTAAGGTAGGCTAAGTACAAAGAAAAGAAGTTTATTTAGTTCATAGTTCTAGAGGTTCAAAGGCATAGTGCTGGTTTTGACTCAGCTCTATTTAGGGCCATCATGGCAGATGACATCATGATGGGAATGACTGGAAGGAAGAAATCACATCATAAAACTGCCAGAGAACAGTTTAGGGAGTTGGAGTAATTCTTTTAACACTTTGCTCTGGCAAGAGCCCTAGAGTCCCACAAGAACTACTGTGATCCCTTCTGAGGGCATGCCCACAGTGCTGTAAGACCTCACATTAGGCCCACCTCTTTTATTTTTTAGGCCTCTCCTCTTTACCACACTGAGGACCAAGCTTCCAACACATGAACCCTCGGGAAGTAAATTCCAGCCATATCCTAGCACCCTCCAATTTTGTTATTTTAAAAATATTCAAAGAAAAGTTGAAGGACTAGTAAATGAATCACCAACATGGTCTGTTTAGATACACCAATTGTTAATTCCATGCCATATTTACTTGTTTTCCTTTTCTCATACATTTGTACTTGATACACATACACACACATAAATTTTTGTCTTTTTTGCTGAACTACTTAAAGACACTGAGTCTTTCACTGAATCTTAAAGACATGGTAATCTATTGCATGAAGAAAGGTAGTTGTTCTTATATTCTGATATACTGGGTACCTGAAATGATCCTACCTGTTTTATCCCTTAAGAATAAGGTCATCAGTGGGTGCTGGTGACTCACACCTGTTATCCTAGCTACTCAGAAGACAGAGGTCAGAAGGATTGAGGTTTGAAGCCAGCCCCAGCAAATAGTTTGCAAGACCCTATCTTGAAAAGATCCATCACAAAAAAGGGCTGGTGGAGTGACTGAAAATATAGGCCCTGAGTTCAAGCCCCAGTACCACAAAAAAAAAAAAAAAAAAAAGAATAAGGTCATCATCTGTATATAATCATAGTATGACCCATAAAATACTAGTAAAACTATCATCATTTATATACATAATCCATTTAGATTTTTCCAGTTTTAAAATTTTCTTTTCCAGTGTTTTACTTTTTAGCTGAGGATTCAGTTAAATTCATGCAGTTCATTTTTATTGCTAAGTCTCTTTACTCTCCCTTTTTGTGTGTGGTACTGGGGTCCCATTGCTTTCGTTCTGTGGCAGAGTAGCACATCTCGGTAGGAATGTGTGGTGGGAGCAAAACTGCTTACTTCATGCCCAGGAAGCAAAATGGAAAGAAGAAGGGACTGGGGTCCCACAATGCCCTTGGAAGGCACAGCCCCAGTGACCTAAGAACCTTCCACAAAGTCCCTCCTCCAAAAGGCTCTACCACCTCCCACTATCACACCCTGGGGACCAGACCTTTAACATGTGGGTCTGTGGGGGAAGTATGGCACTTGGTTAAGTAATTCCTCTGTCTTTCCCTTGCAAAGAAGCCTAATGTCCTTTGTAATTGGTAAGAAATCTGTGGGGTGATACTTTGGGTCACATTGTCTACCCTGTTTTCCCACCCTCTTTCACTCCTTGACTTTAGAAGCCATTGGTAATCTGCGTTGAATCAGTTAACATTGGTGGTTGTTAAAAGGATAAGTTTCTAATTTTGTCTGGTATTAGTCCCAGAAGTTTATATGTCATTTTCTGGTGGGAGCACTAGTTTTCTGTACACATCTATGAGCCTGTATTGCAGGCAACAGGAGGTCAGATAAGTTGTGGAATTCTGTGTTGCTGCCTTTTTCTTAACATAAAACTATCACTGAAGAGTGATAAGAAAAAATAGAAAAAGGACAAGATCCAGGCCTTTAAGACTATAATTTGAAATGGTCTATATAAACAAGTGGATCAAAATGCATTTTTAAAAAAATGAACCCTAATGCATTACAATGTGAAATGTAGTAACATTTTCAAATAGTTTTCCTTGATGAAAGACTTAAAAGTTTTTCTCCTTAACTTCCAGGTTGTGGGTATTTCTTTTAACTTCACTAACCTTATATGTTTTCGTTAGTTTGAATAACATTCATTGTATTTCATAAATCCTAGATTTCTTTCTTTTTTCTTTTGGTGGTACATGAGTTTGAACTCAGGGCCTTACCCTTGCTAAGCAGGTTCTGCCAGCCCTTTTATGTGTTGGGTACTTTTTGAGATAGGGTCTCACTTTCATTTTCCCTGGGCTGACCTCAAACCTCTGATCCTCCTCAGTAGTTAGTATTATAGGCGTGAGCCATTGGTGCCCAGTGTTTGGAGTTAGATTTTTTTTGGGGGAGGGGAGGGGTTGAACCCAGGGCCTTGTGCTTGCTAGGCAGGTGCTCTACCACTTGAGCCATGCTCCTAGCCCAAATCCTAGATTTCTTAATGCAGTGGGAAAAGCTCAAATGATGTTATATACCTGGGTTTGTCATTGAGCTGATTTAGTGTATAGACCTGCCTGCCTCTGCAGTGAATGTGCTTGCTTGCTGTTCTTTTATTGTGACTGCCACTTAATTTCGTGTCATCATTGGTGCTATAAGGTTGGTTTTTTTGGTCACTTTTGTAACCTCTGTACACTTAACCTTTAGTAGACTATATGCACATAAAATTTGCTACTTTTTCTTTATTGTACATTGGTATATTAAGTTGTCGTAAGATGAGTAAGGTTATGAATAAAAGACATAAATGTCTTTTTTTGGTTTTTTTAGTTATTTTATGACAAGGATTTTGTGGCATCTGTTTTGATGATTCTTAATTCTGAATAAAGTAGACTAATGTGTGATGTAGAGGCTTGACCAAGGCAGCGATACATTTAGAATGCATTTCAATCTCAGACATTGTCTGTTTCATTTCTAAATATTCAGGGCTTTTTTTTTAATGTCTTCTGTGACTTTAATATGTTCTTGGGGTTTTTTTCTTCCTCCTTGAACATAGGAAGATCTATTAATAATAGTTGTTTTCAGGTCTTTGTCTACTAATTCTGTTATCTGAGTCATTTCTGGGTCTGTTTTGATTAGTTTTTCTCCTCATTATGGATCACCAACCATACTTTTCTACTTTGTAAATTGTTTTCTCTGTGTGTGTACATGCCTGCCAGGGGAGCAATGATGATTGAGCTCAGGGCCTCATGCATGCTAGGCCAGTGCTATACCTCTTGAGTCACATCCCTAGGCCCTTTGTAATTTTCTTACTGGTTGCCAGACATTGTGAATTTCACAGTTGGACCTTGAATTTTTTTGTACCCCTTTTTGAGTTTTGTTCTGAGACAGTTAAGTTGCTTAGAAACAATTCTCTAGCGCTTGCTCTTTTTTTTTTTAAGTTTGAAATGACACACAAAAATTGTACATATTTGTGGGCCTAGCACTTGCTTTAATGCTTTGTTAGTTAAGACTAGAATAGCCTTTAATGCAGGATTATTCCCACTAAATTGGCTTGTGGCAGTTTTTTGAGTACTGCATTTGGTGGCCATACATTTTGACACTTGGCAATGTGAACTGTACTGAGCCCTATAGGAGGAGTTCTGGGAGTGTTCTACCAGCTTTCATTGGGAGCATCTGAACAGGTCACAGGTTGTTCCCTAGGCTTAGTATTTCCTCCCATACATGTACTCATCAGTACTCAGCTAAAGACTGAAGGTTGCTCTCTCTAGATCACTAGAACATGCTCCAGTCAGGGCACCCCTCTAATTCACCCTGTGAATTCTTTGCTGGCTTTTCGAGTGCTCACTTTACAGAACTGGGTATTAGGTTTTTCCCTCCTCAGACTGGGTGTTAGGATTTTCCCTTCTCTAGAAACTCTCCAAACAAAAAGCTGGAGCAGCCGTAAGGTTTGTTTCCCTTCTTTCAGGCATCATTGTTTTCTACTGGCTTTGGCCCAGTGTCTACAATCATTATTTCTGTTTTTTACTTGTTTGAGGTGGAAGATGTGTCCAATCCCTGTTATATTCTGCCACTGCTAGGAAGTGGAAGTCTTTTAGAATTCTTTTCTTTAATTAAAAATAAGGATATTCTCTTCTAGAAACATATTTCAATATGTAGGTTCAAATACTATATTGCTCATTTTTTATTGTAGATATAAAATTTCAGATTGTGGTAGTTTAGTATTATTCATAATAATATGGGCATAATCAGAAGGATTTATGACTTGAGTCATTTCTTTCTTTCCCTCCCACCCCCAAAACTATTAAAAATTCTAACTAACTGATGTGATTGCAGTCCTTTATTCTCAGCACGTAATGTAGCCGTGATAATCTTTCATTTGATGTCAAATCAAATAGTACATATTTTAAAATCCTTTTGTCAGTGTAATTGTCAACAGCCACCTGTCATGCTTCTTAAGGTCCCAAGGTATACTAGCAAGTATAGAATTGGCTGGGTGACTAGGAGAAAACTGAGTACAGCTTGGCACTGAATCACAGTTTAACTGTGTCATCGCCCCTGGAGTCGTGCTAGCTTACCTGTAGCCCCTAGACTTAATTAAGCACATGAAAGATGCACCAAAGTTACTCCTTCCCCAAAATAAGATAATCAGAAATCTAAGAGTTATAGAGCATTATAATTAGGTATCACTTTAGATAAGCCTAAGGGAAATTTGGCTATGCATTTCATTATTGGAATGCAACTTTTAGGGTTATCTACCTTTTAATAAAGC